AGGGCAGTGTCACTGGCCCTCATATGTGGGATCCGAACCGAGGCCCTCTGGCATCCCAAGCGAGTTCTTAACCATCGCGCCACTCGGCCGGCCCAATAAAAATCTTTTTTAAAAAAAGAACCTACATCCTGGATTAATTTCAGTTAAGAGATTTTCAAATAAAAATTGGTATGTGAACTGGGTTGGTTGGTGACCAACATAAACCATCTTTATATATTTCTTTTAGCTGAAGTCTAGAAGTGGATTATCTTGGAATTAACCAAAACAACTACCTACCAATGTTTCTGCCAATCTAAAGACAATGAGTAAAATTTTCTCTAGCCCACCATGTCCTAGCATTCCTTTCCTCACTGAGTGCAGTTATGGTTTGCACCCTTTTTATGTGTCTCTTCCTCTCCCTCCTCACCTCTGACAAAATTTAGTAGACTGCAATAAAATGTGGGTTGGTAAATAGTGATTTTAAGATCCAAATGGAGAAAAATGTTTAAGTATGAACATTAACAAACAATATTAGCAAGTTAGTTTGGTCAATGTTAATGTGAAGGAAAATTTAAATTCCAGAACATTTTATCAAAATATACAGGAAGTGGAGCAAAATGCCTTATTTTATATTTTCATGGGGAAAATGCAATCTATTTGATTAATAAAAATAAAATGCATTTCAAATGAAATGCCATTTACAGTTGCTATTTTATGATTGGATTTCAAAGCTAAGGGTGTGATACACTTAAAAGTAAACCCTGGGCCCAGCTGAGTGGCTCAGTTGGTTAAGAGTGCAAGTTCTGAGCAAAAGGATAACTGTTCAATTCCCACATGGAACAGTGAGCTGCGCCAGAGCTGAGATGCCACAGAGCTGCCAACAGGTGGCAGGATGGCTCAGCTGGTGAGAGCACATGCTCCTAACAACAAGGTTTCTGGTTCAACTCCCTCATGGGATGGTGAACTATGCCCACCCACAACTAAGACTGAACATGGCACCTTGAGCTGAGCGGCCATGAGCAGCCAACAGGCAGCCAGATGGTGACTGGACTTGGAGCTGAGCTAGCTGCGCCCTCCACAACTAAGATTGAAGGACAACAACTTGGCTGTTCCCCTTCCCCNTCAGCTGTCAAATGACATAGCAATAACATAGATGCGAATGACTCTAGTACTTCCAAAAATGAACTAGTGCCATCTGTTGCAAACATGTGTCATGAGTTTTCCGAAGACCCAATATAATATGGTATACCCATACTGTGGCATATTGTGCCGCTGTTAAGAGTAAGAAAGATTTATTCATCTTGATCCAGATAAACTTCAAAGGCACACTGTTAATTTATTTTAAAAATCTGGGAAAATATGTATAGCATGATATATATACATATAATGAATACATATACATATGTAAACACATATCAGGAGACTCGTAGGATTACAGCCAACTCTTACCTATAAAAAAGAGAGTAGAAGTGAAATGAGGGTGTGATGGGAAAGTTTCCTCATTTTTTTTGTATATATCTACATTTGCTGAATCTTGTATGACTATTCATGGATTACTGTGGCTCTGGTTATCTGTTGGTGCATAACAAACACCCTAAAATTCAATGGTATAAAAACAATCTTTTTATTATGCTCATGATTTTGTGGTCAGTATTTTGGGCAGAGCAGGGACAACTCATATCTACTCCATGACTGGAGCTTTGGCTGGGGTGGCCCAAATATTTGGAGATCGCTGGAATGGCTGTAATCGACTAGGGTTGTGTGTCTGGGGCCTCAGTCCCAGCTGTCTGAAGGTGATTCCTTGGTTCTTCTCCTTTTTGTGTCTGCTGGGACTGGAATGTCCAAAATGGTTTCTTCATGTGTATGACTGATGCCTGAGCTGGGAATGCTGAAACAGCTGGAGATGACTGAGCAGCTTTCTCTCTTTATGTACATAACTAGGGCTTCCTCACAGCACAGCCGACCTCAAGGTAATTAGACTTTTTTTTCTTGTCATCAAGCCTTACGTTTTATTTTTTTAATTATTTTTTCAGTTACACTTGACATTCAATATTATTTTATATCAGCTTCAGGTGTATAGCATAGTGGTTAGACATTTATATAATTTATGCAGTGATCACCCCAATTAGTATAGTAACCCCAGTACTATACATAATTGTTGCAACATTATTGACTGTATTCTCTATCTTTATGCTGTATTTTACATCCCTGTGACAATTTTGTACTACCAATTTGTATTTCTTTTTTTTTTTTTAAAGAGTTTTATTGGGGAATTGGGGGAACGGGAACAGACAAGTTGCTGTCCTTTTGTTCTTCAGTCTAGTTGTGGAGGACGTTGCTTCACTGGCCCAAGTTG